TAATAATAATAATAATAATAATAATAATAATAATAACGTTTTTGAAAATTGGGGTGTTACACTTGGTTTTCTCAGGCTTGTGAACCCCTATAAAGAATTCACAACATGAATAGTGGCACCCGAGTCTAACCACCAAGAATTTGGAGGAATATCAACCACATTAGATTCAAAACAAGCTAGAACAAATAGGAGTATACCTTCCTTGTGAGTATTCTTCTTCTTAAGAAGATAACACTCATCTATCTTGTGCCCAAACTTCTTGCAATAGGCACAATTCCCCTTGAAACGCTTCTTCTTGGGCTTCAAATGCATTGGTGGTTTCCCTGTGTTTTTGCCTTTTCAAAATGAGACTTGCCTTTCTTCATATGTTTAGTGCCAGAAGTAGAAGCAATAAATTGCACACTATGAGACTTGGTCTTTTTAATTGATGCTACCTCTTCGGAATCAATGGCTATTATCTCATCAATTGTCTAGTCCTCCTTTTGAGTGTTGTAAGACGTCTTTAGCACATCAAAATGAGAAGGAAGAGATTCTAAAACCTGTCAAATCAAATAACTTTCACAAAGCTCCACCTTTAGAGACTTGAGATTGTTATAGTAGTGTACAAGCTTCATCATAAGCTCACAAACACCATTGACACCATCATATTTGGTCTTTTCAAGAAGAGTTAGATATTGACCCTTTTGAGCTTTGTCAAAAGTCTTAAATTTCTCACCAACTAACCTAAAAAAATCCTTAGCCTTATCATTTTCTAGAATGCTTTGTCGAATAGATTTCTCCATGGTGTATTTCATCACTATCAGACACACCTTGTTTAAGTGTTCCCATTTCTCACAAGAAGTTCTCTGGACAGCAATGGACTCAAGAGTAAGAGTTGGGGGCTCTTCCTCTCTTAAAGAAAGGTTCATATTAGTAATTGACAGCTATAAATCTAGAGATTCTTTCCAGGCCTCAAAATTTGTCCTATTCAAAGTTTTGACCGAAATCAATTGCATAGGCAAATAAGTTGGTATCAAAACAACAAAGAAACATTTAATATGCACAATTATTATGGAATAAAAAAAATTAAATAATTCTGAATACACAACTAAACATGCCTATAATATAAAATTTCTCATTCATTATGATCCTGCCTAAGGGTCCCGAAGCATAATAAATAAGAAATACAAAATAAAATGCACATGTTAGAAGAAAAAAAATCTAATACCGATTAAGTACTTGAAAAAGAATTGACATAAGATAAAATTAACAAAATTGTATCATAACACTAAAATATATTAACAACAAAATCTCGATAATTAAATTATTTCATTCACACATATTTCATTTAACTATTCCCACGATCGATGAGCTCAAAATCATATAAAATTATATTACTCATGCTTAACAAAATATAATAAAATTATATGATGCATGAACAACATATGAAATAAGTACAAAACAAACAACTATTAATACAAATAAGGGTCAAAATTTTTTAACTCAAGTATATATATGCTACCAAGGAGAGTACAACATACTAACATGTCACTAAGATAACAAGAAACATAAAAAAAAAAAATTCAAACCCAAATCCCTAGAGTACAATATTTAAAATAAGTTAAAATTAAGTTTTATTCAGGGAATAATTAAAATAAAATACTTATAGGTATCAAAAAAATTGCAAAAAATATATCCAATAATCAAAAAACTAATTATTTAATTTTTAAAATAAAAAATAAAAATTTTATGGCCAAATTAGGGGTCTTACGTGTGCCTACACGTTTGGCCCCGCGAGTGGGTAGGCGTGTGCGTTATTCGTGACAAAAACCCGACTCACAATCACTGTTACAAGTGATGGTATTGGTAGGCTGCAAGTTTTTGGCTAGATGACCGCCCCTTCATGGAGGTCCCAAAACCCCATATCAATTTCGAGAATAATTAATTCAAATGAAGGCAATTTCAAATCAAGAAATTGGGATTTTGAAGATACCCACGAAAAAAAAGATGGAAAATTTGTCAAATTGTTTCGATCAATTCCTTCTCAAAATGTGCATATTTATTCAAAATCCAGAGGTAAACAAAATCCCTCAATCAATTGCAATGAATAATCATCAAAAAATGAGAAAAAATGAATCTAAATTGTTCACCAAATAGAATAAGTTTGGAAAAAAAAAATTGTTTGATTCTACAATAGATGAATTTGATTCATAATGGAATTATTTCTATGGACAAAAGTAAAAATAAGAATTGTAAGGTCGACTTAGATTAATGATAATCACGTGTCACAAATATAGATTAATTCTTAATTGTCAAGTGTGATATCTTTTTTAAAAACTTATAAAATAGATGAATTAGACTCTTAGGTCAATGATAATCACGTGTTATAAATATAGATTAATTTTTAATTATCAAGTACGATATCTCTAAAAAAACATTATAAAATAGATGGATCTTAATCGGAGATGAATCTTAATTAAGAAAGAATCGATAAGGAAAGATGATGAACAATGTTTAAAAAAGTTGAGATATATTGAGATTCATAAATTACATTTTCGATACACAAAATTGTGATAAACCATTCTATATGAATCCATTTTATTGTTGTCTTCCAAACTAGATAATAACCACAGAAGATCCCGTTTCTCAATTTGTAGGTGCTTGAATACGAACATTGTTGGTGAGAGGAGGGGTTGGACACCGACACCATGTGTCAACGCACTTGCAACCACAACTTGGACAATTATATTGACACACTGAGTCGTTAGAACAATGCCAATGCACAATGGGTCCTCTTGCTTCCGTTTCCATTGGCCACATATCTAAATCAACAAACAACACATGAGCATTAGAGCAACATTGTACGTGACATATGTAAAATATTTTAAGGTAAACATTTGGTTTGAGTCGATAAATAATCAAATTCACAACGTAATTCATATAATATGAACATGACTCTCGTTAATTGGTTTGGGAAACGAGTGAGGTCTCACCTTTTGCAATGATCACCAAAACCAAAAAGAAGGCCAATTTGACAGCAGATTTCCTTAGAGCCTCCATCTTGTTTGTTGAATTTTTTCGTTAAATATCGGTTTATATAAGCAGATGGTGAGACTCTATATGTCGATGTTCAGCATGTTTTTTTTCCTTGCATCCACATCTTAATATTTTCAGTAGTCAAAATAATTTAAAATATTAATTGCATTGACTATAGTTTTTGATATTATTGCACCATGCATTAAATGTAAATAGAAAAAACGCTAAAGAATGAATAAATATATATTCACATTTAATATTTTCAAGAATCGAAATCATATCATATATCATCATTATAAATACATTTACGAATAATATCATATTACAATTATTAGATTTTCGCAATATTATAAAATAATATGTATTGAAAACAACTAAAAAATAAATATATAAAAATAAAAGGTAAAATTTGGATAAAAATATTTTCATAATTACTTATCATTATTAAATTTTCGCAATATTATATAATAAACTCGTACTGAAAATTAAAGAAACAAATATATCAAATTAAAAGGAATGATTTGGATACAAATATTTTAATAATTAGTAATCCTTAATAGGTTTTTGCAATATTATAAAATTAAATGTTACTGGAAATAATGAAGAAAACAAGTATATTAAATAAAAGGTAATATTTGGATAAAAATATATTAATACTTACTAATCATTATTTGATTTTCACAAAATCTAATCGTTATACATTATTAAAAAAATATTCTGCAAAATAAGAGGAAAACATTATATATTCTATTTTTTTTTTCATGTATAATAAGATATAAATTTTACTTTACGGAAATGGTTGTTCGATTTTAAGTATCAAAAATATATGCCTTTGAAAATTTTTAATTTCATTATTAGAGCTTTGATAATACACATATATAAAAGGTAAAATTTGTATAAAAATATTTTCATAATTACTAATCATTATTAGATTTTAATAATATTATAAAATAAACAGCTATTGAAAATAATAAAAGTAAACAAATATATATCAAATTAAAAGAAAGTATCTGGATAAAATATTTTAATAATTACTAATCCTTAATAGATTTTTTGCAATATTATAAAATAAAGTGTTACGGAAAATAATAAAAAAAAACAAATATATCAACATAAAAGACAAAGTTAGATAAAATATTTTAATAATTACAAATTATAATTAGAACTCCACAAAATTCACTCGTTATACATTATAAAAAATATTTTGCAAAATAAGAGGAAGAAATTTTGTATTCTATTTTTTTTTCATGTATAATATTATATAATTTTTAATTTACAAAATAGTTGTTCGAATTTTAGTATGACAAATATTAATATATATTTCAATTTTTTTTAATTTTACTATTAAATTTCTGCAATATTATAAAATAAACTGGTTGAAATAATTGAAAAAAAAACCATAACAAAATAAAAAGTAAAATTTGGATAAAAATATTTTCATAGAATTAATTGCTACTAAAAATAATAATAAAAAAAAACACACACACACATGCACACACGCACACGCACACGGTCAAAATAAAATAATTAATAAATCACTTGAAAAAATTAATAGTCTGTATAATTATAATTACACTCATTAAATCAAAAGGTTAATAACAAATATTAAAAAATTTAAATGACTTAAATTATAAAAAAAAAAATTGCAACCTTTTCATCTTGGAATTTTTAATTCGCTTGAATCATTCTTAATTAAGAAATATTAAAGCATTAATTTAAAAAATATATCAAAACAAATATTATAAAATAAATTACTAATCATTATTAGATTTCTATAATATTTTAAATTAAATTGCTACTAAAAGTAATTAAAAATCAAATATATCAAAATAAAAGGTAAAATTTGGGTAAAAATATTTTAATAATTTAATTATCATTATTAGATTTTTCCAATATTATAAAATAACACACATATATATATATATATATATATATTATAAAAAAATTACTAATCATTGTTAAATTTCTACAATATTATAAAATTCTATGGAGTTTATTGGATCAGATCAATTCGAAGAACAAATAATATAAATTGATTCGATTTTTTTTATTTAGGTTCAACTTGGACTAAATCAAAAAATTTATGTATTATTTTTATTTTTGATTTAGTTAACAATTAATTAATATGTATGTAATGTTTTGATTTTTTTAAAGATGTTTTTATGTTACAATATGTATATGTTTCAATTCACTACAATAAATGTTACACACAGTGACATATAAAAGTGTCATTATAGATACAATATATGTAAGTATATATCTATTTGACATATAATTACACAATTTTATTATTAATTTTAAAAGAAATTTAATAACATATTTTGTGTGTCACTATAATTTATATCCATACTTTTTTAATGATATACTAACATATATTGTATCTATTGTGTGGGTAAAAATAGTTTTTAGTGGCATATATTGTGTTACTATAGGGTGTATGTCACCATATGACAATTTTCTTGTAGTGATTCCTTTGCTCAAATACTTTTAAAGAAATCAAGAAAAATTATATTGCACTCCTTATCTAAACTTTTACAAAACCATTTTACAATAAATTGAGTGTTGTCTTTACACCCTTTAGTTAATTTTTGATAATATCAAATTATTTAATGTTGAAAAATCTATGTATTTATTTATTTTTTTTTGAAAAAATCATTGGATATCCGATGATCCAAACTGAACCAACCCAATTAATATCGAATTGGTTCGGTTTAGGTTAAGAAAAAAAAATTGTGAAATCCAAACCAATTAAATTTATTTGGTTCAAATTGCTTGATTGCTATTTAAGAAGTCCTCAGTGTTACCCTCGATAGGTTGACCAAAAACAACGATTTTATTTGAACAATTTAACAGGACATAGTTGAAAGATAATTAATTCATACCCAAAATAATATCTAGTTGAGTAAGAGGTAAAGAAATTAAGTCCCTATCAAAAAAATATTTAAAGAACACTTTAGGCATATATTAGAAGTGGAAATTGGCCCACTAGTTGGCATCTTTACTACAAGTTCAAACTTTAAGACATTCATAAGTAATCTTAATTTGGACACACTAGTTTGTGATATTAACAAATGAATCACATTGGGGTTAAACAGGACATCTACATGACTCCACAAGTGGGATTGTAACACCGCGATTTTTCATACTTTATATTAATATCATTTTAGAAATTATTTTAATATTAATTTATTTATTTTGGAATTTTTTTATATTATTTAATTAATTATATGAACTCTATTTTATTCATGAGACATGATTTGTAATTATTATCTTAATTAGTGATATAGGATGTATTTTATAAAATACATTTTATTAATAAATATGCTTATGTTATTTGATTAAAGGGAAAAGGTGTATTTTAATTGTATTGTATTAATTATTTTATGAGAAGGGGAAGAAAGGATGTAATAGTCATTTATTTATTACTATTATTATTATTTTAAGAAGGGAGTTATCAGGAGTTAAGAAAAGTTACCTTACGCTTCATTTCTTTTAACTTCTTTCTTACTTGTTTCTTTCTATGCTTTGAAGACCAAGGAGAACTCAGAGAAGAGGAACAACCAGGTTCTGCCCATGCTTCGACATCTGCTCATCAAGGTAAAGGGGGACTAAGAAACCTCGCTCGGGGGAGTGAGATAATTTGATTGAGTTGAATTTCTATAACATAATTTACATATCTATATATAATATTCACATCCTTGGGCAATTTATAAGGGAAAAAAAATGAAAGAATGCCAATTTTACACAATAATATTCATGAAATTCAAGTAAAAATGACAACTAACAAATGACTCATGATTTTTACACTACATTGAAAGGTTTTGCATGTTAAAAATCTATATCTTTTGTGCTTATCTATTTTTGCTTTTATTTTTATTGGTGTTCGTCACTGATTCTTGGAAGTAAGAAGATTTAATTTTTGTTTTATTACTCTTTTATTCAGTTGTTAGTGTTAGATTTTCCCCTATCAAGTTTCTTCATGCTTGACCTCTTAATCAGCTCATATGTGTGACCTAGTCCGCAAAGCAATTAAGTATTCTTATCTCCATCAAATTCTCCACGTCCCTGGTGCATGTCAATACCAATCTCAAGAAGTGTGGAGGGTTCACCTAAGTAAGTGTTGATTGAGTCTCTATCATATTCAATTACCTCATGTCGAATCCACACTACAAGAAATGTTATATACAATAATATACAAAAAGTGTCACTATTTATATAATATATGTAAGTATAAATTTATTTGATATATAACTATACATAATTTTAATGTTGATTTTGACAGTATAGCTTATACCAATACTTTTTAACAATATACCAATGTATATTATATTTATAGTATAAAAATAGATTTTAGTGACAATTATTATATCACTATAAAGTGAGTATCACTTCATGACAAATATTTATAGTGCCAAGTACACCGAATTGCCTTTGTCTGCTTCATTGGAAATGCGTTAGCGTAGAATTTCTTGACAGTTTCTTCATTGTAAAATTATTCCGTTATAGCCCACTTTTGTCCATCAACTATAATATTAGACAAGGACTAGTAAAGATTGAGATGTTATAAACTTATAAAGACAATAGGTGAGAAAAAAAAAAGTAATTAAGATATTATTACTTTTTTATTTGGATCTTAAATGTTTCATTTTAGTTTCATTTTAATTTTATTATAATTTGTTGATATGGAAACAAGAAAGAAAATTAAAAAAGATAATTTTGTTAATGTCATTTTGGTTTTGAAAGTCCTTAGAAATTTTGTTTTGGTTTCTACTAACGTGGGTGCCACGTGGTGAACCAAAAAGAATATGACAAGATACATAGAATCCATTTGTTTAAACTTTTTCTTTTATATATAACAGTTCTTTTTTAAAGAAAAGAATACGCATATTTTTTACTTTTTGATGTGTTTATCTAATTCTTTTTAAGAAACTATTACTCCTATCTTCTTGAAGACTTTTTTTTTATATTTTTAAAAACACTTCTTTTTTTAGCTTAAATAAACGATCCCTTAAAAATAAATAAATTCTTAATATACATCTTATCATGATTAACACCGTCATTAATATTCATTAATGTTGAACTAAATTGACT